CTGCCTGTCTGTCTGTCTGTCTGTCTGTCTGTCTGTCTCTCTGTCTGTCTGTCTGTCTGTCTGTCTGTCTGTCTGTCTGTCTGTCTGTCTGTCTGTCTGTCTGTCTGTCTGTCTGTCTGTCTGTCTGTCTGTCTGTCTGTCTGTCTGTCTGTCTGTCTGTCTGTCTGTCTGTCTGTCTGTCTGTCTGTCTCTCTGTCTGTCTGTCTCTCTATCTGTTTTACAGCAGTACCATATGTACAATTGATTTAATGTGTCAACAGTAAAAGGGGAAAGCTACAATTGTTATATTATCAAAGTGTTCTCACAAGGTTCATATGGGGAGACTCAGTTTTGATGAGATGATGATGATGGGTATGGCGAAGGATTTTTCCGAATGTTCAATCAGGTCTCCGGGGGTATTTAATCAAATAAAAGTGGTCCATTTAACAGAATACCACTCACAGATTAACACAGAGCAACTCCAAGTCTCTTAAATTAAACGTACATATTTAACGTAGAAACTTTACGTACACATTTAACATCCAAATTGAAAATACAAACCTAAAGTAAGGTACAAATGTATCGTACAAGTTTAACGCGTACACATTTAAAGTACAAATTCATCGTAAAAGTTTAACATTTACACATTTAAAGTACAAATGTATCGTACAAGTTTAACGTACAAATGTTATGTACAAACTGAACGCACAAATGTGATGAGTCTCTGATGTTTCTTTGCTTGTTTTGTTATAAACTCACTCACTCCCCCCTTCCCTCCTTCCTCTCCTATAGCGACGATGACATCATCTTCGAAGACTTCGCCCGCCAGCGACTGACCGCCGAAGCGAATGACGACGAAGACGAGGAGCCTGTGGATTCGCCAAAACTGGACGACAGATAGAGCCGCTGCCGCTGCTGCTGTTTGTAGAGTCCGGGGAACCGTCCGGAAACCCTTTTAACGCGATCCCGTCCCGACGTCGTGTTGTCAGACGGAGCAGCTCGGCCGGCCGGGACTCGAACCGGCGGCTGCGGCGTCGTCGTCACGGCGGCCGGTAGCATGCCTCTAATGTCACTTTGTTCTATGTGTTTCCATTAGGGAGCCGCAGGAGTAACGTTGTGTTGAGATTAGTTTCGATGTGTTGTATCAGACGGTCCTCATAGACACTGCCAGGGTTTCCCCACCGAGGAACACCTGAAGAAGAAGAAGCTTCCCAACGAAACGCAACTGAAACTGTCCGAGAGGGAAGTGTGGCCTTGTTTGCATGAAATCCATACTTATTATTATTATTATTATTATTATTTATTAATATCATGAATAATCAACCTTTATAGAGGAAAGCCCTGAAACAGATCATTAACCTGCATCATTATGGACATCTTCCTGGTTTTCACTCAGCTGAGTCTTTCATCCAATATCTCTCACATTCACAAGAAGAGAGATCATTTAGATATTTCCCTGATATGCAAAATAACAACTACGATGGCCGACAGGTGCAGACGTGCTACAACGGCCCAAACATTTCCATCAGGAGGAACGTGCTGCAGCTTCAGAAAGGATGCAGATATAAAAACCCAAATGTTCCAAATGAAGAAACATTGTGTTGTGTTTTGAGCTTCTTCAGCGTTTTGTATTTGCAGCTTTTAGTCAACGCTGCATGTCTCCTCAAGCTGCTGAATGTTCTCTAAACGCTGCCATGTCTCCTCAAGCCGCTGAATGTTCTCTAAACGCTGCATGTGTTGTTGCTGGAGTTGTTTCTTCATGTGGAACATTTGTGTTTTTATATCTGCATCCTTTCTGTCGGCCTCTGTAGCAACTTGAAAATGAAGAACTATTCATTTTGCTGAGATTCAAGTTATTAATTTACAACAAAAAAAGTGTGGAAAAAATTGTCTCTCTTTAACGAATCAACCACAGGATAAAGATTAAGATTACAAAAAAAAAACACCCAAAACATCCTCATTATTTCGCACATTATTTGAATTGGCTTTATTTTTGAAAGGGCCTGGAGAAAACTTATATATTCCTAAATAAAAAGGATGTTTTTTTGGCATTCTGAACTTTTTCTGAAGCATCAACAAATTTTATTTCCGAAAGAATCAGAACATTTTACACTGTAGAAGAAATGTCCGTAAGCAAGACTTCAAACACACCTTCTGCACGTTCAGATGTAAATGATCAAATTAAAATGAATGCTGTATTTATCTTTTTATAGTCTGATCCTTGTTTCTACAGCCCAGAGTTAATATGTAACATTTCTGCATTAAAATGTGTAAAAATAACCAACCACAAGTTTTATTTCCAGGTCTAATCTGGACTTTTCTATTCGATTTGATTTTGTCCACTGAAAACCAGTTTGGTTGTAGCTCCGTGCTGGTTCTCTGGGTGCGTTCTAGTCAAGTCTTTACTGGAAACAACTTTATTCCCTTCGTCCATCCGTAAAAAGTCTTGATTTAGTTTTAGATATTTTAGGTCTAAAAATGTCTGAAATACCATAAAGTCTGAACACTTTATTTTTTTAAATACCTTTGATTTTACAAACATTGATATAGATGTAATATATCTGCAGATTAGTTTTGAGGACCGAAGAATTGTAGTTTTTGTTTTGAGAAACTCGTGCCAACACACCATTTTAAACTTATATTTTTCCCGACGGAGGTGTTTGCCAGACATGATGTGTTAAAGGACCACAAAAGGTTAACAATAATCACAATTTCCATTTTTATCAATTCAACAAGAAATGCCGCTGCTAATTCAACGAGTCCCAACGTTTAATACTCAGAGGTAAAAAGCAAGCACACAGCAAACATGAAAGTTCAGACCTACATTTTTTATTTGGCTGTTAAAGAGTCCTGCAGGGAGGTGGTGTTTCTGTGTTGGTCCCTGAAGGCAGCATCTCTCTAGTCCAATGGGATTCCTCCATGTGATTTTGGATTATTGCAGAAAATATACTCAACGTTTCTGATGATTACACGTTTAGTTCAGCAGGATAATCTCCACATATTAGCACCACTTGATTTCTGAACGTGTCGTACGGTAACATCTCTTCAGCTTGTGTTAACCACCTTATTTTTAAAACCAAAAACACATTCAGAAAACCATTGACCTCATTCCCAAAGTTTACTCATCTTAATTTCTCCAAGTCAAACCGACACGGCGGTCCATCAGAAGTTTACTTTGATGTCAATACTATAAATAATTTAAATATATAGCTCCTTTCAGGGAACCCAAGGTCACTTTACAGGAAAACAGAGGTACAAAAAACAAAAATAAACAGTGAAACAAACAGTCAGACAGACAACAACAAATAAACTAGGTGCCGAAAGTTTTTCCGTTCACGGCAGGATGCACCTTCATCGACTTAAATGTCTTCGCTCGGACTTTAAAGATCTTCAGAAAAGCATTGACCTCATTCCCTACATTTCTCCAGTCAAACCAACACGGCTGTCCATCAGAAGTTTACTTTGATGTCAAGTTTTACCTTTCCCAGCAGGAGACACCTTCACCTTCATCGACTTGAGTTTCTTCCCTCTGACTTTAAAGATCTTCAGGAATCCGTTCCTGATCTCCTTGGTGCGGACTCCATAGATAATGGGGTTGACGGTGGCCGGCAGCAGGATGTACATCAGACCCATGAAGGTGTGAGCGTCGGGGGGGATGTTCATGCTGGGCGACAGGAAGGAGACGCTGCCCACCAGGTAGAAGCAGGTCATAATCATCAGGTGCGTCCCGCAGGTGTGGAACGCCTTCCAGCGGTCCTCTCCGGACGCCGAAGCCCGCAGGACAACGCTTAGGATCTTCACGTAGGAGAAGAAGATAACCGGGGTGTCGACGCCCACGAAACAGATGATAACGGCGAGTCCGGCCGCTCGATTTCTCTCGGTGTCGCCGCACGCTAAGCTAACCAGCGCCATGTGGTCGCAGTAACAGTGGCGGATTGTGTTAGAGTCGCAGAACCACAGAGATCCCGCCAAACCAACCAAAGTCCCCATGACTGAGCCGCTGCGAAACAATGTGAACAGAAGCAGTTTGGCGAACACCGAGGCGTTCATGATCTTATTGTAGTGTAGCGGCAAGCAAATGGCCACGTAGCGATCCAGCGCCATGGCTAGAAGAAGCGTGGACTCCAGCGAGGACAGGAAGTGGGTGAAGAACATCTGTGTGAGGCAGCCAGTCAGAGATATCCGGTCCCAGTTGAACAGAAGGCTGAGTAACGTAGTGGGGAAGATGGTAGTTCCCACCAGGATGTCCACGGCACACAGCGAGGCGATCAGAAGGTACATGGGGCTGTGGAGAGACGCCACGCTGCCGATCACCAGCAGCAAAGCACAGTTTCCAAGGAGCAAAGTTACGTAGCAGCCGATCAGGAGAACCAGAAGCAGCAGCCGTTGGTGGTTCTGAAGCGCCGGGAAGCCTCCGAACAGGAAGCTGCTGTGGGACGAGTTCCCGCCCGGCGACGCCTCAAACATGGCGCCCAATCAACCTGAAACACACGTTCAAAAACACAATCAGAATCCTATTATATATATATATATCCTTTAGTTAACCAGGTAAAAGTCTCCTTGAGATTCAAATCTATTTTTCAAGAGCGACTTGGCCAAGAGGGCAGCATTTCCTTTCATTTGTATTGGTTCTGTTCATGGTATGCACAACTTAATGTTCAACAATTATTTACTAAACATGTCTCTATAAACACACCGTACCCGAAAAGGAGCAGCCTGTCCTCCTACAAAAAACGACCATATAGGCCGGTTGTTCAAGCCCTTATTACAACCCAGAGACACGTTTTAAAGTGTATGTTGTTTCTTACACGACCACTAGAGGTGCTCTAGTGGTCGTGTAAGAAACAACAAGCTTGATTGCAAACGCTCCGGAGGGACGTTTAGTCACAAATAACCCCTTCTGGAAAATCCTAAATTGTGGAATAGTTTGGCCATTAAAATGCTTTTTGATTAGATATCTGGCGAGAACTGTATATTGTACTCTTAGAATCCACGTCCAGTCGATGTGTAGGATCTATAGTTTGATAGATATTACGAAGGTGATTTGAGGTCTCGCCAGGATAACGTGTGTGCAGCTTCCATGTAAAGTTAGCGTGGGTAAAAACAGTTTTTCTGGTCTCAAAGTTTCCATAATAAAACCGGATGTATTCCCCTCACTGTCAAATGATTACACATTGATATCTGCATATCCACTAAAAATCATCAGTTTATCCTTGTTAATTACACAATATTGATTGGTTTAAATTGTGTACGATGCTTTTTTGTTTTTAACCTTCGATTCAGAGAAACAAATCGTTTTTTCGGAGTTTAGACACTACAAAGTTTCAGAAGACACTACACTACCCAGAATCCCCAGCTATCGTTTGGGACTACAACATCCGCCTTGCTTTACAA